CCCCCCCCCAAAAAAAAAATTCCCAACCTCAAAAATTAATTAAAATAAAATACTGAATGTGCAAGGGTTTTCTTTTGTATTTGGATGCAGAATTTTAATCTCGCAGAAGATAGAGGGAGCACCAACCACTGGAGGTTTTCATATACTATTATCATTATTTGTGATGTGTTTCTTGACGTTTAATGACAAACAAAGGTTTTGAAAGATTTTCTCTGGAGAGGGGATCTCGGCGAGGGTCTCGTGCGGAGGCCAAAGCAGAGGGTTCCTCGTTGGGAAGTTATTGTTTCCTATTTCGCAGGATTGACAGCAGGGACTGTGCACACATGCCCGACACCCCTTCCTCCTCCAGAAGGGACTGGTCAGTGAGGAAGAGGCTGGAAATGTCAATAAAAAACATGCATGTTTTTACTTTGACCGTTATTTGTCATTTGTGCTTCTACCGAATTTTTTGGCGCGTTCCCCACCGCGTAGGTATTTTGCTTCTGCGGAGTTGTGTAGGGCGGTGGAAGTGAGGTGTGTGTGTGTTCTACAGTGCCCAGTGAAGAAGTGCCGTTGCTGATACAGCAATTAACCGGTCAGCACTGGGATTTGCAGCCGAGCCGTTATCTGGTGTCAGTTTCTGGCTTCTGGGGAAAAAAACCCTTGGTGGAAGACTGTGACGGAACAGAGATTAAGGCAGAACGGACTGCCACAAGAGAGACTGAAGAGGTGACTTGAATCTCAGGAGATTATTTGGAAACTAATCCCATTTTGTGTAGCTCTTGCAGCACATGTGGTACTGTGAACCGATCAGTTTTAAAGACTAAAATATTTCAGGCTCGGTGGCTAACTTTTTCTCTAACCTCCAGACTGGTTGGGGTTATGACAGGATTTGAGATAGTTTGTACTTAAAACCACGACTGTATCCACAGACAAAGGGCAGCCAAAGTGTCTTCAGTGTGATTCTCAAGCCCTTTCCCTTTTTTTGCGTACTTAAAACTTTATGGAATCTTCAAAATGTTATTTCTTTACAAGTAATGTGTAAAAACATTTCCCATCTCAGGTGCATTTGCTGGCACGTTACTTCAGGACCGTCATCAATGTTGGGCTGTTGGCAGCGATTTTCTTTCTGACCAGCGGCAATGCTGAGGCAGAGACTTGCAGGCGCAGTAACTGGATGGGCTTTATAGTCAAGTGTAGAAATGGGGCAGTGAGAGAAGGAGCAGGTGCTGGGCTGGGAACTCGAAAAATCCTCATTAAAGTGAGCTTTTTAGAACACATACCAATTTCATTGAAAAAGAAGATTATTCTACTTTGCACTTGTAATATACAAGCAGCTTATTTTTATTTATTAACTCAATTTTGATAGTCTTTCAAGGCTGTTGTTATTCCAGTATCAACTATTCCTAAAATAGGTTTCACACAGAGGAAGTTAGAGCTTTTGACAAGGCAGCAGTGATGGTGCTGCTTTAAAATAGTTCATCAGGTTGCATTTGCAGGGCAGTAAACTTCAGTTTCTTCTGTGTAGCTGAGATCAGAACTTGGCTCTTTTTTCCTAGTAAGTTAGGAAAAGAGCCATTCCCGATTCGTTTTCAGTAAGCAAGATATTCTTCAGCTAACTGTAGAAGCGTAGCCCTTTTCTGATGAAGATACCTGTAATATTGCTTGGGCTCCTGCTGTTGAATACGGATCTTAACTGAATGTGAAAATGTTGTCGGTGATACCTGTCGTGGAAATAGAAAAGGACGGGTTTGTGTTCTTTGCTGATTCTATATACAGAATTCCACTGACACAGGTGAGAATTCAGTGAGTGCAGAGCACGAAACAAAGAGCTGCGCTGTGAAGCAGGCGGGAGCATCCTCTCAAAATGACACACTCCCCTCAAAATGACACACTCCCCTGGGCTGCCGTGTGAGCGTGGGCACGCGTGAGGAGGAACATGGGTTCCTGCCTGGCACCGTGCTGCCGTTCCCCTTGGGAGAGCAGCCTGCTGACCGGCCACCGCGGGCCACAGCGACGCCTCTGTTCCTCCGACCCCCGCTGACCTGCGCCACGGGGGATCAGTGCCAGTTCCAGCCGTCGGAGCCCGTGATGGACGAGGGTGTCCAGCAAAGTTAAGACCCACTTGTAAATGACAAGCAAGAAGCAGGACAAGCCGAGCTGTCGCAGGGAGTGACTCGCTAGGCTGCAAGCGCGTCAGACAGACTCTCCTGCTCATTTTCCTGTAACCTGGCCCTTTGCATCTGAATTTGTTCGGACCAGAACACGTACCCACGCGGATGAAGTCACATTTAACTCCTGTGAAAACATGTTATTCTTTCCTCAAGAGTTCTTCTGTCTGATGAGACGGTGGTTCAAAGCCCCAGTCTTGCAAGCACTTCGTAGCAGGGGTACCTACACACTGTACTACGTAGTGAGTTTTTGCCAGAGGCAAATCTAAATTTGTAAATACCGTTGTTATTTTGCCGTTCATTCACCTGCGGAAAGCTCGCTGCGTTCACAAGAAAGCTGGGGGAAAGAGACAAGCTGTTGTATTTGAAATTTTAAAACAAATCCAAGGACATTGTGTTATAAGTTCATTAAATAAAGGTCGGTGGTCATTTTGTCCAGCAGCTCTGATCTTCTTGGAACAAGTCAGTCACTAGAATTTCTCGAACGAAGCTAAGCTAGCAGCCACTGCTGCACATAAATAACTGATACATAATTAGGCTGTGTTTTCATTTCAAGTCCTCCCTGTATTAGAACTGAACTACCCCAAAAAGACATATTGGGATGTAATTCTCTGAAATGTGGTTTCAGTAGATCCAGTAATGCAAATTTTATACTTCATCAGGTTCACTAGTCTGCACACGCTAGTCCTGTGCAGGAAAACTGCTGGGTTTGAAGGGTTGGAAAGTATGTTTCTGATTTGAAAACAGGCGTGTTAGTGAAATCCGAAGTTTTGGAAAGGGTTGGGGGATATTTTAGAATGAGGCAGAGGTAGTTCGTAGTGAAAGCATTTTCCTTCTTCAGCATAAAAATCTATCTGCCGTTTCAGAAGCAGAAAAAGGTAAGTCCATTGATTCTTCTGTCTTGGGTATTTCAGCTAACTCCTCTAAAGGTAACTGTTCATAAATGAATGATTTGAAAAGCACAGTCTTGGGGCTTAATAAAGTCACGTGTCGGTACTTTGTAATACCCCAAGGACACAAAACTGCAAAACCCACCATCCACTGCTAAGAAAGGTGCGTGTAGAGTATCACAAAAACACAGGACTTTAATACGATTCTCATAGTAACGTGTTTTGATCGTATTTCTTTTATGCAGATGCTAGATGAAAATCACCACCTAATACAATGTATTATGGATTATCAGAGCAAGGGGAAAACTGCAGAATGTACTCAGTGAGTATGACGAGTTTTGGAGTATGTTAGAAATTTTTGGTGTGCTTTTTCTCAAGAACAGTGCTGTGAACAGTTCTGTTCACTGATCACTGAAAAAATACTTGAACTTTTTTTAGATTCACTTGTATTAAGGCATGTGTATTGTTCTTGGAACTGAGGGTTTTTTTTTTGCAAGTATCTGAGTATTTACCATATTTCTAACAGGTCATTTATTACAATAATGATAGACAATTATGGTTAATGGACCACTTGTTCTATGCAGATTCATTAAATGCAAGTAGAATCAGATACAAAGTTAATAACACATTTTCATCAGAAAGCAATTAAATGTTAAGGATCAGCCATGTGGTTATCTATGGCTAAAGCAATATGCATGTAGACATACCAGTTTGTGTCACTGCTTACTGTTCCTAATCTTGAAAGCAAAATTTTATAAACTTTATGGGTTAAATCTCAGTCATCAAGAATAGCCAGTCTGCCCCATGTAAGGGCAGGCTATGGGGCCAAATGCAGAAAGCTGTACTTTCGAGAAAATTGTTTTAAAAAAGATACCTTTGCTGAAGAAGTCACGTCATCATTCTGGCTTCGGTTTTGCCGCTTTTCTCAATTCCCAGCCATTTTCCCCTGATCAGAAGAAAACTCATTCTAAAAAAAAGCATTTTCTCTTGCCTTCTTGGAACCCTCCCCGTTTTCAAAAGTTAGACTCTTCACTTTGCTCAGTGGCGCGGCTGTTGGTTTGCTTTTGGATGCCCTCCTGTTCCTTATTATGAGCTTTTCCAGTTCACCGAGAGCTGTGAAGAAGCGTCAATGGTTCTGGTGGTGCTTCCTTGAGTAAACACTCCAGTTAGAGCACTCTTGAAAAAAATCTTGTTCTTCTCAGCTTGCTGGCAGGGCAAACAGGTTTTGGGTTTTGGAGTTCTGGTATTTCATTACTGCTAGGTCCCTCGCTCAACAGAAGTGGTTAATTGTTGGAGCAGCTGACCGCATGTCAGGACTCAAAGGCTTGAGGTCCCGGCCTCACAGTTTGCTCAAAGTGCTTTCAAAGGAGAATGTATTTTACCTCTCCCTTCCCCCACGTTTACCCATTTGTAAAAGAGGTGTGGAACACACTGATCCTGGATGAAAAGCAGGACAGCACAGATATAGGTCATTGCTACTGCTGTTCATTATGACAGATGAAAAGTGGGATAATGTAATTTAACTAATCATTTGTAAATAGCAAAAAAAAAAAAAAAGGTTTGGAATTTTCTGTCTTGTTAACCCTTTCCAAATAAGATTTACTCCTTCTTCTGTAGATACCAACAAATCTTGCACAGAAACCTGGTTTACTTGGCAACAATAGCAGATTCTAACCAGAATATGCAGTCCTTGCTTCCTGCCGTAAGTACCAGTGCTGCCGTCAGATACATTTACTGTGCCAGAGGGAAATGTTCTTTGATTCTGTTACTGACCGCTGTCAATAAACCATTTTTTATCATTTTTCCAGCTAAAAGTTTTGAAGTGGTCAAGTAGACCATTAAACAAATCAAAAATTACTTTTACTGTGTTTAAAACACATTTTTTGGGACATTTGTGTTAATCCCTGTGTCTCTGTAGCTCAGGTTCTATAAACGGTGCAGCGGTATTGATCTGAACAGCCTCCATTTGTTCCAGGTTCATTATTCTTTACCTATTCTTACTGTATTCTTCACTCAGGAAAAAAAAAAGCCACTATCCTGTGTCAAAAATGTAATTCAGCATTCGGGCCTTGGTTTGTCTTTAAACAGGGTGTTGTTCTTGCTAAATAGATTGATTTTGGAGGTGTCGCACATAATGCAAAATACAGCGTAGCTTTAAGCTTGACAAAGGACTATTTGTCAACGCCTTTCTGTGTCGTCTCGGCTAAGGCACATCCCCTCAGCAGTTATGGTCTGACCGGGGCAAGATGAAATTCGTGTAAGTACGGAAGAATGGGCGCAGCAGCCAGGCTCTGTTATAAGCCCAGTTTTAAGAGCTTCACTGTGCTGCCTGCCGGCTCTCTGTATCGTGCTGAATGTCGCTCACACGTAGTAGTCAAACAAAGAAAGGTTTACGCAAGCAAACCCCAAAAGTGAAGGAAGCACATATTTAGTCGAGGCAGTTTTCAGTCATAGTCAAGCTAATTTGGGGGGTATTATTTCTCTAATGAAAAACCTAACCAAAAATTTGCTTCTCCTCCTTGTTACTTGCAGCCACCAACGCAAAACATAAACTTGGGCCCCGGAGGAATGACTCAGAGTGCATCCAACCAATCTCTCCACTCCCAGAGCAATCTCAGCGATGCAATTGGGACGGGCCTTCCGCCTTCCTCCCTCATGCAGAGTCAGATTAGCAATGGTGAGCTTCGGTCCCCTTTGTGCTGCTTTGCTGTTGCTTGGCAACAAAATCATTAATGCAGAATATACTTACAGAGCTGTAAAAGACCTCTCCTAACTCACCTTTCAGGCATATGGGGCTTTCAGGCACATGCTGAAATCATCACAAAATGGCTACAGTCAGTAATGATGCTGGCTTCTGCAAGGACTCCAATCCGCTTAGTATTTCTATGGGAGAAATTAAAAATAGTTTTTTAAAAATGCGTAATGAAAATCCCCAAGTAAAGCTGCATCCCAGTTTTTTTGTAAGAAAAATTATATTGTATTTTTGTCTTGAAATTGGTGGGGCTGGCCAGGGTAAAAGGAGTTGTTTGCATGACTAACCGCACAACCAAGCCTTTAGATTGCAAAGACCTTCCAGGATACGTGCCTTCTTAAAAAGAGTTTGGTGTAGCATCAGTCTTTGTCCTCTACAGAAGCATGCAGAGGTCGTACTGCACAGCCAAAGAGTTTGCACAGACATTTCATATGAATAAGATAATACACTTTGTCTATGTGGTTTTGTTCATGCAACTAAAACAGTCTAATTGAAAGACAATTTTTTTTTTTTTTTACTCTGTGGATGTTATGGTATGAATAATCTGTTTATTTATTTATTTTGTAGTTCATAGTTATTTAGTCAGTTCTTGTTTCTGTGGGTCTTTCCCAGAATGACAGAGAGAGTTTCTGTGAATAGAAATACCTGATTGTGAAATCGCAGGCCTTGACAGGGGACTCAGGAGCAGGCGCAAGCCATGAAATTACTTCTGACTTTTTAAAAACCCATTTGTGGTCGAGCTGATAGTACCTTTAATACTAGTGGATGAGGTACCTACTTTAAACAGTTACAGCTTGTAAAGTGGACTTATTACATTTATCTGGGCCTTCTTTTTGAAAGATTTATTACCTAGTAGAAGTATTATAATAAGTCAGTGAAAACATTGTTTTGTGTTACTAAGAATCTACATTTTCAGTGTTATTGTTGCTGGTTTTTCTTATTTGCCCCCCACCCTCCAGTTCTTGATAGTAGTTTAGGGCTGATTGAAAGGACCAGACCGGCGGTCCTGAGGACTCGAGTCATGCGCACAACAGAAGCAGCCAGGGCAGTTGGCCTCATGTTGCCCCAACCCAGTCCTAAAACCCAGCCTGAGCTGTGGGGGTCTCAGGGTAGGTCACTCTGCCCAGTCACTGAGATTCTGTCACCTGGGGAGTGCCAGGTATTTTGTCATGAAAGTATCAGTCCACTGGAAGCCAGGCTGAGGACGTAGCTCCTCTTCAAAACGAAGGTGACTGAGAATGCAGTAGCTTGTCACTTCCAAAGTGGCCTTGGTAGCAGCAGCAGTGATGCTAGTGCCGGACCCTGGCACGCTTGGGTGTGAGGACAGTCCCCTTGGATGCCGCCTCTGCTGCTACTGTCTCTGTGCTGGCTAGGATCGAGTTAGCGCAGTGGTGCTACGTGACACAGCGCTCTTGCTGTGTAGATAGACTTCGAGACTGAGAAATCGTCGGTCAACAATTGTTGGACAGCGTTTTTTGGAAATTAGGAATAAATATGCACAAAAAAATCAAATATATGGGCTCTGGTACTTGTGAAAATTGTTCATCTAATGGCAATAGAGATGAAAGCCTGTAATGAACGGGTACAGCATTGTAAGAGAGGGAAGAAAAGGGATGAAGCCATGGAAGCTATTACATTTTATTCTTTATTGTCCTCAGTCAGGACTTTGCAGGAATCCCCTCTGCAGGACAGTAACTAGGTAATTCCCTGCATGCACATAACTCTGCACAGTGGCAGCTGGGTCAATTGTAACGATAGTTCTGTTGATGGGAACAAGCTAAAAACCAACCCACTGAGGTTTCCAGTGATCCACTGTCCACAAGTCAGTGATTCTTCCTGCCACAGCCCTGCAGGCAACTCCCTTAGATTCAATAAACCACCCAGTGAAACTCAGCTGCCTCCGGACAGGATTGGGCCCAACTGAGAATTTTAACTATTCAGAGATCATGAATGAGGCCTTTGAAAGAAAAAAAACCCAACTGCCTTAGAATCATCAAAAGATGAAAGAGGTTCAATGCTTTGTGTTTATCTTACTGTTTTAGTGGTTTTATTGAAACACTTTTGGTCACGCTTTCATATTTTCCCTTACAGTCACAAATTAGCCAAACCTTTTTGCTTTAAAGAAGGCCGAGATTCTCTAAGTTTTCCCATGCAAATGGGGCAAGGTTTACCAACAGTTGCTTCACTCCATCTCTCACTCAAAGCAGCTGCTAGCTCCATTCAAACACCCCGTGGTCTTGTGTTGCCCAAGTAGAAGCATCAGCTTTACACAACATAGAAAGACTGGAGCAAAACACAGGGCTAGACCTCTGCAGCGGTGTATTGGCCTGGCTCCGCTGGTGCCAGTAGAGCTGGCTCCCTTTATCTCTTGTTGGAAATGCTGCTTGCATCTCTCCGTCAGAGGAAGGTGTAATAATCTACAGCAAATTTTCTCATTTTGATGTCTATAAATACCATTAAGAGTAATTAATGAGTACTGAGAGAATTAGTCGCATTTTTCAGAGGCTGTAGATGCACTTAGTAACCGTGCATTGAAATATCGTTGTCTAAACATTACAACATAATTCTGCCTCTTCTAGGGATTCTGCACATCTTCCGTTCCACCTAAATTAATTTGAATTTAGAGAGACAACAATACACACTATCACAATTCAGATAGTAACAATACACAGTGAAATCAAGTTTCCAAAACTCATTCATAAAAGTATTTACAGCAACAAACAACAAAAATTAAGGACCAGATTCCCCACAATTTTAGTCACCCAACAGCAATAGAAATTTAAAAAATAAGCATACGGCCAGTAAACAGGATGATACTCTCAAACCCAGCATAAAATTGGAGCAGTCTGGTGATGGTGATGTTGGAAAGGGAGTACTGTGACAACAGGGATTACGGTGGTGACTTGGAAAATTTATCTTCTGAAAGTCTGAGGTACTTTTGGTCAAACTCCAGGAAAAGGAGAGACAGGCTTGTGCTCTGAGGAGAGGGTCCCTTGGTACTCCACAAGCCCCAGCTGAGAAGGTGAGCTGGTTGTAGAGGAACCGAGTGGATGCAGCAAGGTGCAAAGTGTT